TTATATATATATATATATATATATATATATTATTTTATTTTTGTCCGCCATAGACCGCCATGGCAATATGGCACTTAAAGGTCCTTGCCGCCATCCGCCATATAACCTTATTGATAACCTTGATAGTTTAAAATTAAATACTAGTATTCTCACTTATTTGCCATGGTGAACTGGCACTTGTTTAATAATTGGTTCATTTTAAAAAACATTACTGTAAAGCTCCAATTCTGTTATCTATTGATTCACTTCTAAGTTTTTGCAACAGAGTTTTTGAATTTTCATGAGCAGAACTGTCCTTTTTTGTAATTGTATTAGGTTAAAGGATAAAGGGATGATCTACACAGCAATTGATACATTCTACCTCACAGATGAGCAGCTAGAAAATTCACCTTCTAAAAAAGATGGCATTGATGAAGCCACTGAAACCACCCTTAGAATCTATGGTTGTGATCTCATTCAAGAAAGCGGCATTTTGCTCAGATTGTATACTTCTGATCGTTCTTATTGTGTTCATTTTCATTTTAATTTTCCGTGTTCAGTCCACATTATTACCTTCATTATGTGACAGGCCACAGGCAGTCATGGCTACCGGGCAGGTTTTATTTCATCGTTTCTATTGTAAGAAGTCATTTGCACGGTTCAATGTCAAGGTCATTATCTTGTGATATATATTATTTGCTCTTACTCTCTTTGTGCTTCGTGAATTACTATGCTCATAGTGTCTCTTTGCAGAAAGTTGCTGCAAGCTGTGTGTGGTTGGCTTCAAAATTGGAGGAAAACCCTAGAAAAGCCAGACAAGTAATTATTGTTTTTCACAGGATGGAATGCAGGAGGGAGAACTTCCCCATGGAGCATTTAGACTTGTATTCCAAGGTCAGAAGCTTTTCATTTTCCCCTTTACATGCCATGCCTATAATACAGTCATATGATTGATCTTGTTTCAATTAACTCTAGTTATTTATAAGTTTTTGGTTTACTTTGTTCATGAACAGAAATATGTTGATTTGAAAATGGAGTTGAGCAGAACAGAAAGACATATTCTGAAAGAAATGGGATTCATTTGTCATGTTGAACATCCTCATAAGTTTATATCAAATTACCTGGCTACCCTTGAAACACCTCCAGAATTGAGGCAAGAAGCTTGGAATCTGGCTAATGATAGGTACATAATTGCATATGTTATTTTTTTTTTATTACGCTGCTTGCTTATTTCTGCACATGTCCATTTTTTAAACTGTATTTTTTCCCTTCCTCTGGATTCCTGAATTAGACTGTATCTTCTGTTCTGTTAAACATTGAAAGGTTTGCTTGATTGCTTTCGCTTCTATATTAATCTTTGCCTGTAGTTCCAGATTGAATATTTTATTATTTTATCAAGGTGGTTGTTCTTGGATGCAATATACAATTTAAAGAGATGGGTCAGTCCTTGTAACTTATTTAGTGTAGTGGAAAAAACGAAACCTTCACAAAGTTGTCCATGATAGTATTTTTTCCCTCCACAACCTGATAATGTATATTCATCCTTCAAGGATTTAATTTTGCCTCGTTAAAATGAAAACAGTTGTTAATATAAAAATGAGTAGATGTTTTTAATAATATTTCACAGTACTACAGTCTAGGAAGAGGATTTGGGCCAAAGTGTGGCTCTATTACGGCATAAAATTGAGATTCTTGTTAAACTGTTCAACCCATTCAGCTTGTAATTCTTATCAAATAAGCAGATGTTTGAAGTGTATCATACCTTATTAAGCTGTTGGAACTGTTGGTCTTGTAGCTATTAGCAAACACTTGATGCTTCTTATGATCATGTATGTCAATTGTCAAGCATTCAATCTAAGCGTAATTTGTAGTGGAGTAAAATATTTATTTACTATTCACTTGTCCAACTGGAATGCGCATGTATTTTTGTTTGTGGCTTGTATTTACCATCTTTTACTGCAACCTAACTCACTTTTTTCATGTAGTTTGAGAACTACATTATGTGTCCGATTTAAGAGTGAGGTTGTGGCTTGTGGAGTCGTATATGCTTCTGCTCGCAGGTTCCAAGTACCCCTTCCTGAGAACCCACCATGGTGGAAGGCATTTGATGCGGAGAAGTCTGGGATTGATGAAGTCTGCAGGGTTCTGGCTCACCTTTATAGCCTTCCAAAGGCACAATATATACCAGTCTGCAAGGATGGGGACTTTACCTTCTCCAACAAATCATCGGAATCAAAGTCTCAATCAACACCAAAGGTGATGCTCACTATTCCTATTTATATTGTAATTTGCCTTACTAGTGCAATATCATCATCGGTCAGATGTTGAGACAAATGTCAGCATTTGTAAGCCTATATTATCGACAATCAACTATAAGGGTTTGATTTAACATTTTAAATCACTGGCAATTTGTAGGATGTTCCGCAAAATAGTCCCTCAGCCGAAACTGACACCTCAGTCCCAAAGGGAGCTCAAGGAGAAGCTAATATTGAATCCATTGGTGGCAAGGGTGCAATGGTAAAGTTAGCCATTGATAAGCTGAAAGATAATAAAAGGTCTGATGATGAGTCCAAAGGCATGACTACTGAAGGAGAGGCAAGAGAGGAACCCATACTGAAGTCCAAGTCTGACCGTAAAACAGAGGCCAGTGTGGAGACACGTCGGGACAGAGATAGAGACCGAGATAGAGATAGGGATAGAGACAGAGAGAGGGACAGGGACAGAACAAAATCCAGAGATAGAGATCGAGGAAGGGATTCTGACAAAGAACGTGAACGAGAGGAAGCTGAGAGAGACAAACTCAAGGATCGTGGTCACCGTTCTAGGGAGAGAGCAAAGGATTCAGGTTTCTTCATAGATTTCTTGTGTGTGGGGTGTGTTTCATTTTATTTTGTATGTTTTTGTTTTTGGTTAAATCATTAAGCTTTTGTATTGGATGCAGGACATTCAGAGAAGTCAAAACGCCATTCATCGCATGGTATGAATCTATGTTAATGGGTTTGTCTTTGTTTTCCTTTTTAGCATTTCATTTTCATTCCCAACACATTTTGATTTTGCAGATCGGGATTATTATGGCTCCTCTTACTCGTCAAGGGAGAAAGATCGGCATAGACATCATTGACATTATTTAGAAGATCTTTCAAGATGCACACATCACACCTGTCAAAGTACGTCAACTGATCAAGCATTGCACGTCCTTTGATATTGTAATCGGGAAGAGCGTTTACAGATATAAACAATTTAGGATATGTTCAGATATAATGCTTAATTTTGACAAGAATGTAAACATTTGTGTATTTTTATTTTTATTTTATAATTGAAGAGAAAATAGTTAATTATTTTCATAATGTTGTAACTGCTTTCATAAGTTATCTCAGATTTTACTAGATTAAGTTGAAAATAACAATAACATATTTCTTTATTTTATTAAGAGAAAATAATTTATGTACTGATAATGGAAAATGACAACAATATGTTCATTAATGCTATGCTTGGGAGAAGGGATGAAATTGAAGGGAATAGGGATGAAAATAATTTGTAATTGGTTGATAGAATAAAATTAACTGAAAGATTGATATTTTAAAATTATATTTTATATAGTTAATTTTTTTTATAAAAATAATTTATTTAAATAATTTTCTATTAAATAAAATATAACAATTATTATATTGTAATTTATTATTAAATTTTATATCTAAAAAACTAATACATATATATATATATATAACATTGATTAATGAATATAACATTTTCAACAATAAATTTCACTTGAATGTAGTCAATTTTGTCTGGAATTTCTTTTTATTTTTATTTTTTGAGTCCACCAAAAATCCATACAATTTCCTTCTAACTCATCTTTATCAAACAAGAATGTAAAGTAATATTTTGTACAATTCTTAGTTTTTCCCTTCCTCTATCTTCTAATTCGTGTCTACCAAGCAAAGGTAAAAGTATAAATTTAATCTAATCATTAATATTTTATCTAATTATTAACATAGTGAACTAATAAGAATGATATTTTACCATGTGACAACAGTTTCGTTTCACAATCCATTTTGTGGCTTGGCATTTGGATCCTTGGTCATGTTTCAAAATATAATTTCATGTTTGCTCATATCTTAAAAATTGAACATACTAATATGAACTACATTTCATTGATTTGAAAAGTATGAAAACTCTATTTAAACACTCAAGGCTAAAGGACCAAAATCACCCGTCAAAATATAGGGATAAAAAAATACAATAAATCAAAAAGAAAAAAGAAAAACTAATGACTAATTTGCATATAAATTTTATACGGGTAGTTAATTACATAAATTGAACTACATTAGATCTATGAAGTGTAATCAACAGATCACCATAAAATCTTCCTTAAAAGCTGAAGAAAGAACCATATTATTGGGAAAAACAGGAAGTCATGTAACAAAGATATTGCGTTTTGGAGTACCCTTATACTCAATAATACATCAAAGTGCACTTGATACGCCCTGTATATCAAAAAACCGACCGAGTTCAATCTTATAAACACAGTAATGAAAAATTAAATTTAACTATATCTTATTCCTTTTGTATTTCTCACTTTATTTCAAACAAAGTACAAGGTTCCAAAACATACTTGCTATTTACAGTAAAGTGAGAAAGAGTTGTATACGGACTATTGATTCGTTATTTAGTCGTCAAATTTATTCAACAAAATATTTATATATTATTTATAAAAATAAAAAAAAAACTGAAACTAAGTACCTGTGGTTAAAAAAAATTAATTTAGCAAAGATAATGTAGCTTTAGATGGAGCGTAAGTTATAAGAACCACCGCCAAGAAATACCCTTTCAGTCAATAAATAATATCTAAAGGTTGATTGGATTCCTTGAGCAAAAATATATCCAAGGGGACGAATATGAACTTGGGTACTGAGGTAGTCACCCATGCTAATAAGGCAAATCAAGAAACAGCCATGCCTAGACATAAAATCAGAAAAAGGTTTGTTGGAACAAAAAAAAATATACAGGGGAAAACTTTACTCGGTCAAATTAAAACACAAAATGAAGAAACCAGCCGTCCAATTTCTTCATTTTGGTGTTGTCCCTTTGACGATCTTCCTAGAAATGAGGAAACTTTTCCGGCATCATTACCCCTGTGCACCACATTTCCTCGTCAATCCTCTCTTTAGCCTCCATTCACCATGCCAGAATCACCAACTTCAAAGAGATTAAAACTGAAAAGGCAGGGCAGCAGGATCAAGTTCAAAAGATCCTATCGGAACACCCTCCCTTTCATTACCAGTCATCTTATACGAAGGAATTCGATGTGAGAACCTATATAGCTCATTAGGTAGAACATAAAACATGTTCACTCCATTCTTCGCAATTTTCTGAAAGAGGCTAACAAATCCTTTCACTTTGCCTAGATAAGCAACAGCGATGCCAACATTTTCAACAAAATCTGACAGGATTTCCACATATTCTAAGTCATACTCAGAATGTTCCTTTGGGTTAGAACTCCATTTGATATCCCAATTTCTAAAAATTGCCCAAATTTCTCCTTTATTAGGACACACCAGATAAGAACCTTTGCCCCGGCCTTTTATGCACCGTATCTGATGAGAGAACACAAAACGATCCGTAGTATTCTGAGACCTACCAAGTCTGAACTTACCGCAAGCAATAGGCAACTTTGCATCATGCCAATCAGTCTCACCTTGGTCATCTGGATCAGGTTCCAACCAAGTAATCCGCAACTTGAAAGGGAAGGCCGCTTTCTTGACAAGAGCATAAAATCTTGGCATACCATCAAAGTCATCATAAATTGCCCACAACTGATTAACAGCAAAACAATCCTCCTCCTTGCCCTTCTCAAAATCATTGAAATCTGTATCAGGACAAACAACAACCTTTGGAGCAGAAGGAGCATTTGAATTCAATGGAGAGCAATTATCCTCTTCTGACGTTCCAAGACCAATATCTGACTCGGGTACGTTCTCACTCATCTGATCAGTCACACCAGCAGCTGAAGTACCTGGATTATTGTTATTAGACGATCCACCACTTTCAGGCATGTTCTCTTTCTCATCTTCATCGGTGTTAAGTGGTCCATTTTGTCGTGGCTTTTTGGAAAGAATTTCAGAATCACCATCTTCAGAAGTTTCCACATAAGAGATATCATCATCTTCAGAATTCTCCACATAAGAAATATCATCATCTTCAGAAGTTTCCACATAAGAAACATTCTGCTTTTTCCTGGAAGATCTCCTTGCATTGAGTCTTGAAGAATCAACGTCATTTCCTCCAACATTGGCATTTTTCATCTCAGCACCATTTCTACCATTGAAGCTGTCTTTTGAATCTGGTGCTGACTGTCTTACTCTTTTTCTCCCAACATTTTTAGAGGTTTGCGACTCCGTGCCTCTGGATGGAGGAACATAGCCATCTTTACTCTTTCGATCTTCACAATGATCACCAGTTCCAGCAGCACATTTTTTCATAGATACAGAATTTCCACCAGTACTTTCTGAGGCGGATTTTGGGGGACCATGCATTGTAGCCTCTTTCGGGTTATTTACCGAAGTAAAAAATGCCGGGGAAACACCCTGGTATGAAAATTGAATAACATGAGCTTTAAATATCTTCAAACACTGTTGACAGCGTAAGGTTGCATTTACAACAAGTACGCAGTACTGGTACTTGGTATTGCAATGTTGGCAAGATGTCCAAAATGTCTTTTGTCCAACTTGGTTGCTGAAACTGGTGGAGTTCAAATTAGAATTCTTCTGATAATTTGCTGCATTTGCATCATGATTAGCAGCAAACACATTCACATTTGAGTAACGCTGTGAATCAAATGTCTTCTGACAATTTGTTGCATTTGCATCATGTTTTGCAGCAGACACATTCCCATTTGAGTAACGACATGAAGACTTAGGCGTAGCACCTCTTACAGAGGCTTCGAAATTCCTGTCATAGAAAGAACGTTTTGCTTGGTCACTCAACACCCCATTGGCTTGACCAATCAACTTGAAAGCGGCTTCTGCACCAGCAAACTTATTCTTATCAGGATGAAGTAGCAGTGCAAGCCTCCTGTATTGTTTCTTTATGGTTGCTTCATCAGCCAACCTTTCAATCTGAAGAATTGCATACCAGTCCATGTCAGAGGCAGAGACTTTCTTCTGTGCAGCAATATGAACCTCACAAATGGTAAGAATCTGGGTAATGTTTTCAACCTCAGAATACAGTTTCTTGGCCTTGGCAGCAAACCTGATCGCCTCCACGAATTCGCCTCTTTGCATTCTAGCTTCCGCAATTTGCCTAGCCCTCACAGCCTCGTCCTTGTTGCACTCCATCGAAGAATCGAGATCAAATCCAACCACCCTAATTTTCTCAATCTCACACAAACAATAAAACGAAGAAAGGGCAAATTGTGTAATTCTTTCTACCTAAACACAATCCACAATCAGAACAATATTTTCACCTGATTCACACAAACAAACCTAACACGTTAAAATTAAACCTAACTACCAACATATCATGCACGCTTATACAAAATATAGTAAATATACGAATCATGCACGCAACGTGTCGATCATGAAATAAAAAACTGGGAAATTAAGAGTTAAATAGAAAATGTACCTGATTTGGAAGCGTGAAGTCTGTTAGGCATACTAAACATCGTAATCGCGGAAGCGTTGGATTTTCATGTGACCAAAACAAGTGTTGGTTTATGGAAGGAAATGGATAGTAGATGGTTGGTTTTGTAATGAGTAGAGAGAGATACTGAGAAAGGAAACGAAAATGTAAAACCCTACCATGAAAAGTGAAGGAAGGAGATGGAACGCAGCGAGAGAGATAAAGAAGAAAAAAAAACGACACAGAGAGAGAGAGAGAGAGGGAGGTTGAAAGCGGGAATGAAAATTGAATAAAATTTTTCAAGACGCTCACCCAGTTGGAGGGAACGTCCCATTTTTCCCATGTCACATGTCCCAACTCCCAACACATTAATTTTACTCTTTAAATCATTTTTTTTCTTTCTAAATATGTTTTCTTTAAGAGGATTATAGTATTTTAAGTATATACAATATTTAAACTAAATATTTATTATAATAAATTAGTCGAGTTGAAACTCTTCATGTCTTTACATTTTATTTAATACACTTATTTAAAAATTATTCATATTTATTAAATTAATTATTATTATATTTAATCTTCAAACATTAAGGTTTCAGATTTAAGTTTAGTATTTGTAAAAATAATTAATTTATAATATTTTTATTATTTAAAAATTTAAGAATAAGTTATTATCTTTATATATGTTATAAATTATATACATAAATAAATAATATATTTGAATATATAAATTATATTTAAAATGGGTATAAATAAATATTTTTAAACATATAAATTATATTTTAAATTTATAATAAATGAGTGACTAAATTATATTTTTAATTTTTTTATCTTATTTTTTAGATTTACTTTGATTTTTTATCTTTTAAAATGTTCATTTTTTGTCATTTAAGTCTTAAATTTGGTTGATTTGGTCACTTTTGAAACGATATTTATTTTTAATTTTGAGATATGGTTCCGAATTCATTTTTCACTAGTTCGAGACTTAAAATTTGTCTCATTAAATTTACTTATATGAAAGTTATTAAATGCAACTGAAGTTTAAACAAAAATATTATAAATATGATAAACAAAATGTATGAAACTAAACTAAAAAAATCTAATTTCATATTAATTTCAAACGTCAATTGAATTTAATAAATTTCATATAGATTAATCTAATATTACAAATTTCATGTTTTGAATCAATAAAAAAGTTATTTAAAATCATGTCCAAAATTTTTTAAAAAATTAAAATACGATAAATAAATATTAAACTAGATAAAAAAAATCAAAAGAATATCTACAAATTTTGACATCATTCTTTTATGTTTTAACTTCTTATCTAATTTAAATTTTTATTTATCATATTATTTATAAACTAAAATTTAACATTTTTAAAAGACTTAAATATGTTTTTAGTCCCTCAAATTTAAGGTAAATTTGTTTTTGGTCTCTCAAATTTAAAAATTATTATTTTTTAGTCCATATAATTTTAAAAAAAGATATTTTAGTCCTTATATTCAAATCTTATTAAGAAATTTATCAAATATTATTGTATAAAAATATATTTATTGTTGTCTTTATTAGTGAAAAGATCACATTAAATTCAATTGATATTACATAATTGTCTTAATTACTTTTATATATATTATTGGTGATCTGAGGGGCTAAAACAATATTTTTGAATATTACAGGAACTAAAAATAATCATTTTAAATTTGAGAGACCAAAAAGAAATTTATTTTAAATTTGATAGACTACAAACATATTTAAGCTTATATAAATTATTAATAATTAAAATTAATCTTATGTTGCAATATAAATATATTTATCTTAAATTTAAAATATAATTCATATGTTTAAAAATACCTACTTATGAAAAATTTAAATATATTTTATATATTCAAATATAATATTTATTTTTTGTATATAATTTTTTATAAACTTTAATTATATACAAATATATATAACTTGTAAAATAGACATGCTAAAACACTAACTATTTTTAAGTGTGTTTAGAAAAATTGTGAAAACTAAATTATTTCACTAATCAATTATATGTATAATCGATTATAATAATACATTTTTGTTTGAGTGAGTTTTTTTGGAAGGTTTGTGATATTTAATTTGGTTATATATTTTCAAAAAATTAATTTTTATGTAATAAAATATTTATAGGAGAAAATATTATTAAAAAATAATCATAAATTTCAAATTTTTAGATTTTTAAAATATTTATTTTTTAAAATGTAATTAAATTTTAACCATTGTCCAAAATAATAAGCATATTTTACAAAACTTGTTTCTTTTCAACAAAAACAGGTAGATGTTAGGAGAAAAAAGAACACACTTAATTTTGAGAAGAACTCAAGTCTCACATCGACTAGAAATTAAGCAATTAAAAAGTATATAAGTGAAAAATAACTTTCACCTTACAAGTCAGTTTTGTAGGATTGAGTTAGGCTTAAATCTACTATTCTAAGACGGTATCAAAGCAATCATAAATTCTTAAAAATAAAAGGGTCACCTACCATTCATTGATACATGCACCATGGGCATGAAGGGCTGTATTCAAGTCCCGACAATCCTAGATCATTAAAAAAGGGCCACCTACCATAAACAACTCTCACCTTACAAGCCGATTTTATAGTTTTGAGTTTATAGTTTTGAGTTAAACATTAATTCCTTAATTTCGATTGTAATCTGCTCTCCCGGGCGTCTTCTTGATAAAACAATTCAACATAAACCCAATCTTCTCTTCAATATGAGATTTATAGAAATAAAAATGTTAACCTAACCTCGTATTGCAAAGAAGACGGTTAAACTCACGTGTTATACCAACTAAAACTTATAAATAACGGATAGAAAAAAAAGTTATATATTATCTATATAAGCATACCACTTCATTTTGTAAGGTCACCTCATAATGATACTTTATTGTTTGATTTGAATAGTTGACTTAAACAAAATTTTAGATTTGAGTTTTGTATATAAAAATATATAATTTTATTAAAATTTATCAGTCAAGTTTTTAATCGAAATTATTCATCTACAAAATTAATAAGTATTCTGTATGTCAAAGATAGTTATAAAAAAAAATATATCATTTAATTTTGAACATAATAAATCGGAATGTCTACGGCAAGAAGAGAGTTTTGCGGTTCACGTGACAATCCACCTTTGCCAAACAGTGCACATGAAGTTCAAGTGATTTTGTTTGGCGAGTCTCACTTGCTATTCTCCTACCCGTTGTTTCTGCTATGAGCCTATGATTTTATATTCTCATCTTTAGTTCTTTAATTTCCTTTTACAAATAACAACATTAAATTTGTACCAAAGATACCAACTATAAACCTTTTTCGATACAAGCCAGGAACTTTTAAATTCCAAGAGTTTCTCTCCCCCCAAAAGAATAACTTTTTTTATTTTCAAGGATTTGTCTTGAATTTATCTACTAATCAATTATATGTAGAAATTAATGTTAGTTGCTCTACTTTTTTTTTTTTTTTTAACTTTACATTAATTGATTATAAAAAAAATTCATTTATTTTTATTTATTTTCTCTCTTAAAAGTATTTTTTTATTTAGAAATTTACACAAACAATCTTAAAAAACTCTCAAAATTCGTTAAAACTTGTGTACTCTCTCTATATATATATTACATCATCTGACAGTCATCATCTATAAATTGAAGAAAGAAGAAAGGTGGAACCACCACAAACATATTATATGAACATGAATATCCACCTACGTTAATGATATATATATATACCCCACCATCCATTTTTCATTTTTTAAAACAAGCACATTTTTTTTTATATCTTATTTCTCCTCTGCAGCTAGCTAGCACAGCACACCACTGCTTCAACCTCAGTTCGTTAATTTCCTTGCGAAATGACAATCATCAGTGCGCCGGTATCCATTTTCTTTTGAACTCCTTCACATGCATTTTATATATATATATATATATATATATATATATTATTCATGCATCATGCATACTTGGTTATTAGCAATGCTTCTTATTAGAAAGTTCGAGTAAGATTTAAATGTGAAGCTTCATTTATCATTACTAAATCTTCTTGATGAATAATAACATCTAGAAGGATGATGGAATTGTAAGTGGAGGCAGAAGAAACTCAACACTAATTTGTGCTTCAACCACCGCGGACTCAGTGGAAGAAATGTTGTTTGAGATGGCCAAGGCAAAAGAATTGGGTGCTGACCTTGTAGAGGCTCGTTTGGACTTCTTGAAGGACTTTCATCCCATTCAACATCTTCACATTCTAATCAATAACCGTCCTTTGCCCATTTTAATCACTTACAGGTATTATATGTTGAATATGGTGTGGCAAATTTATGTGTGGCAAATTTAGTCCCACATCGAATAAGTTTTTTTTGATGTGGCCAAATTAGTCCCACATTGGATAGGTTTGGGAATGTGTAGTGCCTTAGGTTCTATATATAGAAACCCTTCCCTTCACTTTGAAATCATCCCAACTACAAGTTCATTTGTAACTTCTAAGGCTTGTAGTTTTCTCTTCTCTCTCTATTGTAATATTTCTTAGTGAAATATATTTGGTAGTGTCCGAGGAAGTAGGCATAATTGGCTGAACCTCGTTAAATTCTTGGTGTTCTTTCTTTCTTGTTTTGCTTTTGGTTTAAAATTTGCTAGACGTTTCCGCAACA